TGCTCCTTTCTCCCTGCCTGACCTCACCAGGGTGGAGCTGAAAGTGAGATCAAAACTTTTGGCTCCTTCAAAAATTCCCCTGAGCCTCCTTTTTTAGTAACAGGTGTCTAAAAAAAAAATTTGGAAGATTTGTTAAACCAATATTTTAACCCAGGCATATGCTTGGTGTTAACCCCAGGCTCTTTCCCAGCTCAATTTTGGATCACACTTTGAAGGAAACACATCCAAGTTTTTTTGGTTTTTTTTTTTTTCATTCTGGGACTGCTGGGTCCAGCTCTGATGGGAAATATTTCTCCCAAAAATGCTCAGCCCAACTGGCAAAGAATAAGTGCCAGGGACTGGACAATTTCCATCTTACACCAACCTCCCATCAATATTTTGAAAGAGCAAAAACAACCTAAAAATCCATTGAGGAGTTGACAAAAAAAATGGGGAAATGATGAATATTTTTCAGCAAATACCAAAGGGATCTTTGCTGAGAGAATAAATGGATTACACGTTTTTTTTTTTTTTTTTTGTCATTTAGGGAGGTGGATGGATAGAATCCACCCTAATTGCACAGAAACCCCTGGAATCACGGAATGGTTTGGGTTTGGAAAGGACCTTAAAGCTCCTATAACCCCAAAAAATGATTCAAAATGACCCAAAAATGACTCAAAATGATCCAAAATCACCCAAAACCCACCTGCAGTGACTCCTTGAATCCCCCTCATGCCTCCTCTGCCTGTGGAGAGATGAATTCCAGGATTGTGGGTGTGAAAGAAGCCCAAAAGTGCAGCACAGCTCTCCCCCATCCCCAGCTGGGATTGCAGGGCAGGAGCCACAGAGCTCGGATTTCTCTGAGCTGCTGAGTTTTTGAATCATTTATTTACAGCAAAGCAGTAAAGGGGATTTATAAAATAACATTTAAACAGGCAAAACACGAAGAGCATCGTTAGGAAAGTGTAACAGCTCAGATTACCAATTATAATAAAGTAATAAAGAAATCTCTCAAGGAGTTTCATGTACATAATGCAGACAGGGAAGGGGGGGAAAAAAAAAAGGAATAACTCCCAAATTTTCAGTAATAAACCCGATTTGTTTTCTATTTTGCTGCTCTTAATTAATTTATTTTTGCCAGCTTGTCTGTCAGGAATCATCACCTTGCAGGGAAGTTAAAGACAGGAATGTCACTAATGCCAGGGATTGAGGGAGAGCAGCCTCTGCTCAGAAATCACCAAACTCTCAGCACAGATGTTCCCTGCTCAAAAATTCACAGGTTCCCTCAACAGCCCAGTTTTAATTTCACTTCTCTTTTACATTTCTGGGTCCATCCCAGTGGAGGGAAAACGATCCAGCAGAAAAAATGGGAATGCAAATCAGTATTTGCAAGGTGCTGAGGTGAAATATCACGTGGAAGGGGTGCACAGCAACGGTTCCCAACCTCCAAAACAAATTCCCTCTGAAAAACGACAATAAATTAATAGGATCAATTCATTAATTTAACTGAATAATGGTTCTGGTTGGATTTAAAAGGACAAAGAAGGTAAAAATTATTTGGGGTTTGAAGCAGAGCTCCCAGCTCAGGTTGAATTGTGTCAGAGCTGAGCCAGTGGCAGCTCCTCTGAACTTCTCCCAATATTCATTAAATTGCTGCCCATGACCAGGGCAAGCAGAAATTCCTCAAAAAGGGCAAAAATTCCCTTTAAAAATCTCACCTGGCAGCTGCAGAAGCAGCCAGGAGGGCCCCAGGTGTGCAGGACACCCCGAGGCTTCAATTCCTGCAGGGAATGTCCTGAAGGATCAGCTCAGATTGGGCAGAGTGGGAGATTTCTTTTCCTGGAGTTGGTGCTCTGTCAATTAATTAATTAATTAATAATTCATGAACTCTGAGCAGCAAAAAAAATACAAACAAGGTGCTTCAATCTCTGCAAAAAATTCATCATCCCCCAAGGAAAATTTCCTTTGCCATCATTTGTCCATCAAACACTCCAGGCAATTACAGCCAAAGCACCCCAAAAAATCCACCAGACAAAGCTCATTTTCCTTTAAGCTTATTTAATGATATTTGAAACGCTTAAATTTTCTATTTCCCAGGTCCTGAAAACAGATTTCTCTTTTTTTTTTTTTTTTTTTTAAGTGACCGATATTTAATTCCAGAAACATACAACCCGATCAGCTAAGTCATAAAAGAGCTATTTTACAAACATACATCTGGATAATTAGAACAATAAAGTCTTTTTAGACATTCAAACATGATCAGTAAAAATACAGGATTATTAATAAAGATTTTTGTGTATTTTTTTTTTTAAAGAATACTTCCAGATTTTTTTTTTTTCTTCTCTTTAAAGTAAATCTCTGTTAAGAGTACATGATTGTATGTTGTACAAAGAAAATAAAAATATTCTAGTATGAAGAGAGCTCCACAAGACTTAATTCAAAATAAAACAGCAGTGTTTTGGCTGCAGTATCCCTTTTGCAGTACATCTGCTTGTCAGTTGGCACCTTTGGGGATGGGGAGGGAATCCAGGGATTTCTTTGGGGGACAGGGAGAAAATACTGGATACAGGAGAGTGAAATCTTAACAGCAGGGAGATTAAATCAGAATATCCAATTTTAGAAGACTGGAACAGGGCGAGTGCTGTGGGAGGTTTGCACTGCTCGTCCTGCTGACCCCACCTCCCTCCACACCGGGGCTGCTCAGGAATCTTCTGCAGGAGAAGGGAATTCCCATCCCAGAAAAATCCCATCTGAGCTTTTGGTTTGTCCACCAGCAGAAGGGAAAGGTTCTTAAATCCCATCCTTGTCCCCAAAATAAGAAATCTTTGTTCTTCTATTAGGGGAAAAGGGAAAAAAAAAAAAATTTTTGGGATGAGGTGCTGGGACAAAAAAATTCCAGAGAAGTGGTTGGATAAGAGAATGCCCGACCCACCACCAATCAGGGGTAAATTAAAATGAAATTTTCATTCTGAAATAAGGGGAATCTTATGGCTTAAAGGAGGAAAAAAAAAAAAACAAAACTGTGGGAATCCTGAATAGTGCATTTGAGCTCCAGCTCCTTCCTCCATCCCGAGGTGTGTGGTGCAGCAGATGTGCCAGGGAGGAAAAAGGAATTTCCTGTCCCTCCAGGTGAAGGGATCCCTGAGCCACCATCACTTCCCTGCTGCTGAGGCTGGTCCAGAGCTGAAAGCACAGCCAGGACAGAGCCCAGAGCAGGATTTTTGTCACCCATAAAACTGGGCTCACACCAGCTGGGCTCCTCCAGCATTCCTGAATTCCTGTGCCCTGCCAGCTGCTCCTCTGCCACCCTCAGCCTGGCACAGGGGGGGATTCTCCCTTCACCCACCCCAAAAGTGACAGGGACACAGCTGCCCCTCACCCCTGTGGGTCACCCCAAGGCAGAGTCGAGGGATTTGGGCTAAAATCCACTCCAGCAGGCAAAAATGTCAACTCACACACACGGGGCAGTGCCAGCTTTTCATCAGAGGGGAAACCAGGAACCACCACAGACCTTGGAATTCTGGCAACCTCGAGAGACCCACTGAGGATTTTACCTTCAACCATGAGCAAAGAGCAGAAAACACCCAGGCCTCCCCAAACCCCAGATCTGCTGCTCTTCCAGAAACACCCAGGCCTCCCCAAACCCCTCCCCTGCTGCTCTTCCAGCACATTCTTCCAAAGGCAGACTGAGCTCCCTCTGTGCTGGAATTCAGGGATGATTTCCTGTCAACCATGGGAGTCTCTGGGAAGCTTTTACCCTGCTGAGGTCACAGCAACTGCTCCTGTTTTGGGATTGGGAGGAGGAAAAAGGGGTCCAGGTCTGGCTGTTGGCCAGTTCTCTTCCTGGCAGCATCCATGGCAGCATTCCAGGCTGGGGGTGGTTCTCAGAGGAAATTTGGATGTTTATAACCCAGGGAATTGTGGGGTTGAGGTGAGGAAGGGAGAGCCCATCCTTGAGTTAATACTGACAATAATTCCACACAGCAGGACAGGCCTTGGTGCATCCCAAAAAAAAAAAAAAAACAGGGAGCTCCTGGCAGCTCTGGCTGGTGCTGGCAGTGGTGATGCTCTTAAAACAACAGGAATTCCTCCTGGCTCCTGGAAAGGCTCCTGGCTCCAACTCCCACACCAAAATCACCTCTGCTCCCTCTCCTGTCACCTGAACTCATCCCCCACAGGTTTCTGGGGGAGGAAACACGAGCTGGGATTTTTGTGACAAGGGACAGAGGTGATTTAAAGGAAAACATTTGGTTTAGAGGAGCAGGAGGATCCCGGTGCTGAGCAAAGGCAGGTCGGTCTCACTATCCATGGGATGTGCAGGATGCTCAGTTTGGCTTCCTCAGAGAGCTTAAAACTCGAGAAGAGAGTGTGTCCCTCACACTGCTCCCAGGAACAGCCCAGCCCAGTGACACTGGGGACAGCCTGAACCACCCTGTGCCAAGCAGGACAGCAAAAATTCATCATCACCCTCATCTGGTACACAAAAAACCCAGAAAAACAAGGAGGTGCCTAAAGCCCAGGGCAGGGCAGTGCAGGGATGCAGAACTCCTTGCTGTCAGACCCACCTCGTGTGAAATCCAGCATGGAGAGGGTGGATAATGAATGGAAATGGGCTCAGGGCAGAGGCTGTGCCCTGTGTTACCCCAATTCCCATCCTGGCAGCAATTCCAGCAGCAAACCCCAGCAGCACAGGCTGAGCAAGTGCCCAGGAGCTGCTTCAGCCCCGTTTGGGTGAGAACACATTGGCACGAATGATTTAAAAAAAAAAAAAAAAAAAAAA